TTACCCTCAGAAAGATTCCTGGCTATCATTTCTGTTAGAGGCTGAGTCAACCCCAGGGCCATATTGAAGCTGGAAGGATTCGGCAAATTAAGAAAAATCCACCTCATCGGGGCTCGAACCCAACCTTCCAGCTTGTAGTATAGTGCCTCAACCAACTACGCTACTGAGCGCCCCCGCTTACATGGGAAGGTAATATTGAAATTGATGTTAAATATGATGTGATGTTGTGGATTGGAATAAAGTAGCTCTATATGAGGATCAGTAGCGGAGTCTTGTGCATGATCATGTTTTTACATATGTAATTTGTTTGGAATTTCTTCGATATCTGAGACAGACTATCGGCTTCTGAAGGAGAACCGTGATGCGTGACTTTATTTGCATTTGTAGTTGCGTGAACTTCTGCTGTGATGAAGGGTTGAGTGTCCTTTTTATGTCGCGTTCCGAAAAAAGAACAATAAAAATACGCCTATTATCTCCACCTGTGCGTCTGTCCGCGTTTTACAACTTGTATTTCAATTAACATATTTTCATGAAAATTTATATTGTGTAGTTTTACGGAACCCTCTAGGCAGCTTCGGATTTTGTTTAGCATCGGAAGTACTTATACTCGTTTTTGTGCTTGTTTCGACTATAACTCACTACTTTCGAAGCAAAACTTTCTCTTGAACAGAAGTTATATAAAGAAAAGAAATATTTTTTCGCGTGCACTTCGTCCGTATGCCTTACAATTTCCTAGGTAATTTAAAAAAAAAAAAGGGAAGGCAGAAATATAAATTTGTCCAGGTGTGGGTGAGTGAATGTATAGATCCACGTTTTCTTGACCTCGGCACTAGTTGGATTTGAATGGTCAGCTTCACGCCCTGGCCGCTTTACCCCGAGAGAAAAAGCCCCCAGTACCCATTTGATAGGAAGTTGGGTGGACCCCAGAACCGGTCTGAACGGCGTGGAAAATAGAAATTCCTTGACCTTACCGAGACTCGAACTCCGACCCCTAGGTTGTGCAGCCCGTAGCCACTCGCTATACCGACTATGCTATCCCGCTTCTTCAACAAATTTGAAGGAAAACGTAAAATAGTTATAGCCTGTGCGGTACATTTCATCATTTCTTATTTTCTACAGGAATCGTTCCTAACTTCTGAGTGAAGTCAGGTATGTACCCTGTGTGCTATGAGAATGATGGTCCATCATCATTAATTAGTGATGAATACCGTTACTCCGTTATGAGAAAGTTGCTAGACTTTATTTTCAACATACTCCTGATATTCATACATCAATCGCTCTACAGCCCTTGTCGATCTTGACCTCTTCTTCAGTTTCCTAATCCTATACACTCTCGGTAAGACTCCTTGGACGGGAGATCAGCCCTTGCGAGGCCGCTACTTACGCACAGTACAGCACGAACACAAAATAAACACAGACATTATGCTTCGAGTGGGATATGAGCCCACGGTCCCTGTGTTCGAGGGGTCGAAGACCTCGCGACCACCGACGGGAACTTCAGACGTGTTTCTACAAGGCTCTTATCCTGTTACGTCGCCGGCACGAGCTGTGACGTAACACTGGATCATAGAGTAGATGCCGTTTGTAACGTTGTCACGTGGCTATTGCACACCGACACAAATTGAATTCTCCTCATGTCCACTCGTCCCAAGGATACGAACGATTCTCATCTCGAAACGTATTCAGCCAGTTGCACCAACTTCGCGAAACTGCGAGCAGTTGGCAGATATGCCACATCCCGGAGCGAAATCTGTCTGAGTTGCCAGATCTGAGCTCCTCGAGGTTACTTAAATGCCTTACGGGATATGGCGCCGTTTGGTTCCGCAGACAGGTAGGTCTGCTGACGTTTCGGAGAAACATATTGCCATCTCTTTTCAGGGTTAAATTGATCGTGTTCTCCTCAGTTATGTAACCGTGTAGTTTCATAGGTGAATATCAACTATTCGAAGAGATATGATGCCACCATTTACAGGGTAGAATTAGTTACGGCTTTTGGGTTATATTGTCTGCTATGTAATAGCCAAAATTTCTGAGGAATACGTTACCTCCATCTTCACTGTAAAATTGTGATCTTCTGGGATATGACACTGTATAATGTTGAAGGTGGGTACCAATGTTTCGAATGGATATATTCCTTCCCTCGCCAGGGTAGATGCCGATGCAAAACGCTAGTATCCCATCCATGTCAACCCACTTTATTTGATAATAAAAGATATTAATTTATTTACTTTATTCTTCCATGGCTTTTAAAATTTAGGTCTTATGGGCCCTGACGTGTAGTTTCGTGAGCAGAGTGTCGCTATGAGGCCTTATTGTTACGATTCATTTAACAGTGATGAAATATAAGGGATATGAAAAAACCTACTCCTTTCAGCCGCACTGTGGCTTTGGGGTCGACTCAGCCTCTGACAGAAATGAGTACCAGGAACCTTCCTGCGGTTAAAGCTGACAAACTCACCGTCATCTGTGAGCCGATTATCTAGAAAATATGTGAGCCTCGACACCCCACAACCGTACGGGCCGCCACGGCCTGTTACAGGGATAACTTTAACTTTCTTCCTTTTTACTTTTACCCGTCGGTGAATAATTCGAAGTATTTTCTAAACATTTGTCTGGGATCGACTGAGGAAAATCACTTAGAGCCTAAGCCAGGATGGGCGATCTGTGGGCTAAAACATTGTGCCGATACTAGCGATTAGGGAGCCCAATCGACCGTGCTATATCCTTGTTACACTACGGGAGAACTATCTTCTGCTAGAGTCATTACATCGACAACGGGTATCCACGGCCTCTCAAACGACGCCGTGTGCCACCCCAGTCGAGAAAAGCATCCTCGAGAGGAGTGATGAACTAGTCTTCGCGCTGCAGTACGTCGGTTCCGCATCGATTCCGTCTGAAACACCCTCCATGTGTCTCCCTCTCCCTCTTCTATCCCTCACACAAAGGGTCGAGTCCTAAGTTTCTTAGTGGAACTTTGATTGAACAAGTCTACTATAGTCCAGGCTATCGCTTCCTCTGTGACAGTCTCCTGCAGGCGTGAGATGTCCCTTTGAGGCCCAGTTCACTGGACCCTTGCGCTCTTGCCGCATTATAAGTGGCCCATCCCCTATACATAGCTGCACCTACTTCAGCATTTGAAATCTTTGCATTCTGCCCACACAGTGTATTTGTGTGTTCCGTATGGTTCTCACAATAAACAGCGACTGTTCCCATAAACAGCATTAACCGGTTGGGCTTTGTAGCGGAGACATAATGTGTTTTTTGTGAGGTACGGACTGAACTCTGCATTCTGCCCACACAGTGTATTTATGTGTTCCGTATGGTTCTCACAATAAACAGCGATTATTTCCCTAAACAGCATTAACCGGTTGGGCTTTGTAGCGGAGACATAATGTGTTTCCTGTGAGGTACGGACTGAACTTTGCATTCTGCCCACACAGTGTATTTATGTGTTCCGTATGGTTCTCACAATAAACAGCGATTATTTCCCTAAACAGCATTAACCGGTTGGGCTTTGTAGCGGAGACATAATGTGTTTCCTGTGAGGTACGGACTGAACTTTGCATTCTGCCCACACAGTGTATTTATGTGTTCCGTATGGTTCTCACAATAAACAGCGATTATTTCCCTAAACAGCATTAACCGGTTGGGCTTTGTAGCGGAGACATAATGTGTTTTTTGTGAGGTACGGACTGAACTTTGCATTCTGCCCACACAGTGTATTTGCGTGTTCCATATGGTCCGTAAACAGCTTTAACCGGTTGGACTTTGTAGCAGAGACGTAATGTTTTGTAGATTCTAAAGGATTCTAAACGATTGTGAATGACACACAGAATTACTGGGTTTTGGGACTTTTTCCATTGTCCGGAATTCAAGGTAATAGAGGACAAGACGTTTCGGAAAGAGATCCAGCTTCCGAAACGTTGTGTCCTCTATTATCTATAATTTCGGTCGATGGGATAAGTCCACACACCCAGTAATTCTGTACGTAATATCTTCCTTGTGAGGTGCGGACTGAATTTATATATTACTTAGATGAATTTCGAAAGAGAACCCAATGCCTGGGGCTATAACCGGGCTACTGTGTTCCTGGGGGTTGTAAATATGGGGACCTGATTCTCCATTTTGGGGGGTCTCAAATCTGGGACAGTAAAGTATGGTCATGTGTCCCGCAGGACTCGAACTCGAGAATGACTGTGCTGGCGAGGGCCAACAACAGTTGTAAACGACAGACCCGTCCTGTCGTCAGAGAGGGTGCCCCACATAAACAAATCTGCAACTGTCTAACAGCAATAAAAGTTTGGTCTTGGGTCCCAAATGGGGTGCTTGACACCAAAACAGACTGGCTGACTGACCGTCGGTAGTAACATAACTATGATTTCGGCTGTAACTACATGTAGGGAAGTAATTTCTGAAATACTGATAGTTGAAGGAATTTTCTGCCTCTGTGGAACCTCAAACTGACACAGATAATTAAATGACATTCGCGTCTTCAGACTGGCTAATAGCCAGAGCAAGCTATTCACTTTGGGCCCAGTACTGATGCCTCATATCAGATGTACTGACAGTTAGAGCTAGACTGCAGACAACTCGTGATTTTTTATATTTTTAGTGACATATAATCCATATTAATAAGAAAGCAACAACACTTGCATTAGACAAATCCCATACATTTTGTTTGCCGCGTTCTTGTCTAGATATAAGTGTATACCTGGAAGGTCACGCGACTGGCCGTCTCGACACATGTTTTCGTGGTTTTCCTCTGTCTTCAAGCAAATACTGAGATGGTTCCAAAGTTCCCAGTTACTACTGCGCGCTTCTCATGCACGCCTCCCCATTTAAACTAATCATAAATCTTAAGGGTCAAGCGACAAACATTCGGGACACATTGATAGGTTTATTTTAAAAGGTTTCCTTAATAATCAGGTCCGTCCATCCGGGAATCGTTTGCTTCAGAAGAAATTTGTCGAAGTCGCTTTATAATGGTGTTATATTCACAGGTACCACCGAGGAGTTTGCTGGAGGTGCTGAGGAAAGGCACGGAGAATCTCAGTCCGGATGGTCAATACGAGCCGAAAGCGATACGCAGCCAGCCAGCTCGGTAAGTCTCTCTTCTTGTGTACTGCCCCTTTAGCTGCTGGCGAAACAGACGGGCCTAGGGTCGCACTGAAGCCTCAGTCCGCCATTACATTCATCACGCGGAGGGCAACTGCTTCCGGAGTCCGGGTTGCTTGTTCTCAGGGGCTGGGTGTCGGTGCCGAGAGCTGAGGTCCGCGGGGTTGGGTTTTCCGTTGAATATTTCAACGTGTGTAAATGGATACTGCGAAGTATTTCACCTTGAAGAACGGACGTTTTATGCTAATCTATGTCCTCCTTTCTTGTTTCCTTCCTTTCCAACATTCTCATACCTTGACTCAGAAGTTTACTTCCAGGCAATAAAATTTAAGTGTGACAGACGAAGTTCTTGCCATAAATATTTCTTTGTTGTAGAGATGGATTTCTGTGTTTAAACCCCTCCTGATCTTAATTTCAACATCTGTCGTAAGCAAATACTCTTGGTATTGTATTGACCTATACACAGGGTTTCCCATGAGGAAAGGGGAATATTCTTAGGTCATAGTATTGGTCATTCTAAGCAAAAGTGTATATGTGCATATGTCCTATTCCGAACGGTTTCCGAGATAGGGCTATTTCACTCTGCATTTCCAAAACTGTTGATAGGAAAGAGATAATACGTACTGTTTCTAATGCCGGTATTTATTGTTCACGTGACAAAGTTGGTACAGTTTATAAGATCTGAAATTTCGTGACGTTGGTACATTTTTTTTTTAATTCGCTTAGTGGGGGGGGGGGTGGAGACCAATTGGGTCCACTCGGCACGGTGGCCACTGATTGGCCTATTGTAGCCTGCCCCGGGTGATTATGACGATGGAGAATTTGGTGGAATGAAGATTGTCAGGGGAAACCGAAGTACTCGGAGGAAACCCGGCCCAGCGCCACTTTGTCCACCAGAAATCCCACTTGACCACACCCGATATCGAACCCAGGCCGTCGCGGTGGGAAGCCAGCGACTAACAGCTTGAGCTATGACGCGGCCGAAGAAGAAGGTAAGTTCTTGCAGAAACCTAGGATAAGTGTATTATATGTATCGGTTAACAGAAAACCCCTGATGATTACTCTTCACGAGTCGAATCATGGCGGGGTACTGAGCAAATAAATCTGATTTATGCTGTAATTTCTTTTTGTTTACTGAATTGTGGTGATTATTAAGAAATTCAACCGGCAAGTGCTTACAGGAAGTGCTGCCAGTCGGTGGACACAGGTGTCCGGTATCCGGGGGGGGCGGTCCTTCCTTGAAGTTTTTAGAACTGCCGTTGAAAATTCGGGTTGGGCGGGCTGCGTCACCATCTGGAAGGGTCTGAATATTTATGTAGACTGCGGGAAAGAGCAGGCAGTACTGCAGGTGGCTGACTGATCCATTATGCAGTCCAAACAAAGGCGTCTCTCAACTCCCCAGGATGAACGAGCGAATTATCGCGTTTACAAGGAAGCGATCAGCCAGGAGCAGTGCTGCTCGGGTGCCATAAATCACTTAGCAAAATAGATTACGGAAATAATTGATTACTGTATTGGGTCTGAGGCTCTGAGATCGACAACTATGAAGGACATTGTCTTCGGGTTGTGACATCATGTGGAAGTTCGTTGACATTTAGGAAGTAAGAATACTCCCTTTCATCACTGTGGCATCTATGGTATGGAAGCAGCCATCTTAACTCGTCATGGATACGATTCTATGAAGAGGAAGGAGGAAGAAGAGCAGAAGACGAGGACGAAGATGGGGAAGAAGAAGAGGAAGGAGGAAGAAGAAGATGATTATGATGGTGAGAAGATATTATCTTGAACTCATATATGAAAGTAAAATTGTCCCTGTGCTTAATTATTTAAGAACTATACCATGAAGACGTATGAGGGAGTAGAGGAATAGCTCCACCACTCTTGAGCTCAGCACTAGGTACAGATGAGTGGTCAGCTTCACGCTTCGGCCAATTTACCCCCGGGAAAAGAACCACTGGTACTCGTTTATAGTCTGGGTGGGCTCCAGAGCCAGTCTGGACGCTGTGCAGTAGCGAGAAGTATCTTGCCCCTGCCGCGAATCGAACATCGGCTTTCTATCTCGTAGCTCGTCACTATACCAGCTGAGCTATCCCGGCTTCGAATATGTGTATTATGGTGTACATAAGCTGTAACTGTTCTCCTTCCTGTTCCCTACAACGGACTTAAAACAGCACCGGAATACAGTATGAATTTCTCTCCATACTCTTACCAGTATGTACGGCAGCCACGACTGTTGAAGCGATGTGCAAGTGTTGAGACAATTCTGGGGTGGGGTAAAATTCCTCATTCCACACCGTTCATTTTCAGTTAGAGGTAAACTTCAGTTTCTTAATGCGAGTGTTAGCCCACGTTTGAAAGTTCTGACTAGTCTCCACTGTAATACTGGCACGGGAATGGGGGGTGCCCTGGGTGATGAACTAGAAATTCTGTTTTGTGTGGGACTGTACAACATCGAGATTAATAATTAATTGAAAAGCATTTGGGGGTGGCAGTGGCGTAATCAATGTGCAGTCCGAAGAGACTGAGGGAAACCACGAGAAATATCAGTCAGTATAACAGAGGTCTCGGCCGATATTTGAGCTGTACTATACAAATTCCCGAATGCTACTCACTTTTTTTTTTGCAATAATAATTATTTTTGTGGTAATTTATTTGTTAGTAAGTTGGGTCATCTCTTTGCGTTTTTAATGCGAACACTTAAAACGCATCACGACAAGGAACGTAATAGATCCAACATCAGAGGACGCCGAAGAAAAACAAGACCTTCAAAAGCGAAAGTGCAGTCAATGTGATGAGTTGAAGTTTATTTCATGAACTTTTTAACCAAGTGGTAATAATATAACTAGCTACAGTGAACTAAATTTTAAATTTTAACTTTTAACATTTGTATTTTTAACTTATATTTTATAAGAAGAACTAGACACATATTATTTGAGCGTGGACCTGAACAGGATACAGGATCAAAATAAGTGGAAAAACGAATGTGATTGCGTGTGATTGTGCAACTGTGTTCGTACACCTGAGGATGACCTCTTGACGTCGAAACATGTAGTGTGACAGTAAATAAAAAACGTGTTCTGTGGTCGGTAAAATTAACTCTAATATTCATTAAATACACAACAGGATGCAAGAAACAATTAAACTTAAAACGCATTTTAAAGCAACCCTTTTCCTCTCCAGATAGTAACGTGCCTGTCCACCTCTGTTCCCGACAGACAGACAGACAGACAGACAGACGGTGACGATACTGAGTGCTAATCTCGTGCAACAGGGTGTCAGAACGGAACACATGGTTAGCTAATGTTACCGGATGCTGTTACTCACAGATCACGGGTCACAGTGGGACGAAGGCCTCCCAGACAAGGACACACAAAGAAGGAATGCAGTCCGTGGAAAATTCACTTTGCTGAGCGGGAAATTTCATTCATCTCACCCCCAACTCACCCCTAACCATTCCGTCTCAACACTCTGTTTGTCTAATCCCCCTGAAACTGGTTAATACGGTTACAGGGTGAAAACTGAGGGTGAGGACGTGTTTATGTAGGGAGAACACTGAATGTGGGCCAGCGATTGCAGGCAGGTTTGAAGAGGTTCACTGTCTTCTGCTCAACTGGATGTGAAGATTGCTATATTCAGGGATGTGACGCCGTGTAATTTGGTTGAAGATTCGGAGAATCGTATCGCCTATACATTCAGGGTCGAGGAACAAGACAAGCAAAAATCCAGAAAAAAAGCAAGCAGTAATCAGACTATATACAAAATGTCCTAGGAGAAAAGATAAATATTTTGGGAGGTCACAGTATCGGTTATTCTAAGCAAAAATTGTATATGTACATGTGTCCTATTCCGAACGGTTTCTGATATACGAGTACAGCTATTTTACTGTACAGTTGACAAGAAAGATATTGCGTACTGTTTCTAATACTGGTGTTTAATGTTCAAGTGACAAAGTTGGTAGAGAAGAATGCCGTCTTCTCGGATGTGGTGCCGTGTACATATTTTGTTAACCGACGTTTCCATCTTCATGGTATGAGAAATCCGTGAGCAATGAGCAGGTGTCTGTAGATTGAGTCTTATACCCTTCTTATACTCTGAAGATGGAGGCGATACGTTCCTCCGAAACGTCGGTTAACAAAATATTTACACTGGGCCACATCCCAGAAAACGGCATTCTTCATAATCACCGCTGTGAAAGCCTAAAAACTTATAAAGTTGGTACAGTTTACCTAGTATATACATCTTTGCAAATTCCACCGTCAGCATCAATGCAGTTAGCAACTCGTGTGAAGATATGGCGTGTTGCTCCTCTGTACAGTGTACAGTACCGCATGGAGGTGTTCAGGTAAAGCGTCCAGTGTTTCTGTCCGATTTTAATCAGAAATGAAATCTGTCTATAACTCCAGCACTCATGTACCAGACTTCACAAAAATCCATACAGCGCCTCTCTCGAGCTGTCTTGTGCTGAAAGACGTGCTGTAAACGGAATAGGCGCCCCCCCACCCCCTTAGGCCCTTGGTTTCGTATGATCCAAGCTCACCGTCAGTCAGTTTCAACTACGCGGCTACATTTACGGCCGTAGTCAGTATTACAGGCGCCATATAGATGCGGCGCTACGGCTTATCAGTAAGATGCAACGCCTCGAGCCCTTGCTGGTCGCCTCATGTTTGTCTTTTGTTAAACAAAAGATATACTCGTAACGCCAGATGGCAGCATATTACGCCGTCTGCTCGACGTCACATTTTTACAGCCATCTTATGAACTGCCTAGAACAAAGAGGATTCAAGTTCCTCTTTCTCATTGTTAGGCTCTCGTCTGTAAGAAGTATTGTTTTCTGATGGTTCAGTCGCTTCTTTTTCACGAGGAGGAATACTGTCTGCCAGAAGTAATCCAGTTTTATTGTATTTCGTCTTCCCACTGTCTCTCTCGGTGCCAACGGACTTAAATGTCTATAAACGTCAAGTCTTCCCTTACGCTTTTATGTCTAAG